GTCTATATAAACTCAGTCAGCAAAAATATTTGGCATGAATTATAATTCAAATTGCTACAATATGAACTTTATAGTTAAAATATTTTGTAGCAAGTAAATATGAAATTGGAAAGAAATGATCATAATTAATTTGAAGTGTCATAATATTTCAAGTCTAAACAAAATATTTATGTAAGTAGAAAATATAAACTCATTTTAAATAAATCATAATTATTTTTTCTGTTTATAATCACTGAAATGTCAATCCTGATCTTAATATCAAATAATGCATATTAAAATAGTCAATAGTAAAACGTTCTTTAGCTATTGTACATTTCAAAAGTTAAGCTCACTTGTATCATTTAATATCATATAAAACCTTGAGTTTTCGTAAAATAATAATCTTTGATGACAATGAAATTTTTCAATATTTTATACATACCAAAGAAAATAGAATCTATACATAAATGATTCTCAACTCAGAGAGATGAAGTCAAAACAAATTCTCAAAAAGCATTTTGTTTATATAACAGGGTAAGAGTAAAAAATCTGGGCTGTTTTTAAAGTATAATATTTTATTGAAAACTTGATATATAATATTTAATAGATACTTCATTTAAAAAAAATGTTATGTACTGTACATTAGTATAGAATTAATGAACATGATCATATGGCCCACAATCAGTGGTATGCTTAAGTTTGTTTTGATAGTCTCGCAACTTTTTCATATTGCCTTTGTATCAATACTTTTAAATAAAGGTCTGATTCTTTAGATCAGTTGTGTGGTATTTTTTACTTGCCAACCTTTCTTATATACTAGTTGTGCCAAATATCCAGAGATTGGGAGAAATTGCCAGCATTGTGGTAGATTTTATGGATTGTTCTTTGGGTACAAAAGGAATGTTTTTGGCTTTCAGGAACTCCACAGTTAAATTTGAGTAGAAAGACAAAGCTTTGTCAGACCAAAAGATGAAATCATTTTGATGATGCTTGTTAAGAAAGGGATTAGAAATTTCTTTAGACACTCATTTTGGTATGTATCAGCATCAATTGCAAAGGATTCCTTCTTTGAAACATCTATTATTGAATTGACAGTGTATAGCAGGACTTTTGAATCAAATTTCTTCTTAAATTTGTACTTCACTTCAGGGTGCTTGATTTTCATTGCTTGCATATTAAATTTCATTTCTTGGCATCTGTTTGCCAGAGAGAGGAAAGTACTCCTCAACATACAAAATAAACATATTGTTTCCAAAATTTCTTATGAATCATCTGCATTGCATTTGGATTTCAGCAATTTTTTCAGCAGTGCACTCTGAAGCCAAGCCCTCTTCTATTTCCTTGTGCCCATCTCAAGTGTCTTACAGACATATGTTCAATGACAATTGTTGTAGTCAAACATTTGTCAAAATGCTCTACAGTTTTTAGTATCTGTAACAACTGACTTTCTTTTCCATGTTTTAGATATTTCATACCACATCAAAATATTATACACAGTTTATCTGCTATGACCTTTGTACGCTCTTATAATGTCTTAATGTGCTCTCTTAATATGTCCTAATTTTAAAACTTTTAAAATTTTTATCATCATGATTTTATAAATTCATATAATCAATACTATGTCCTCTTTTGAAGAAATTTTTCTGAACTGATTCATAAATGTTTGAAAACATCCATGTATAATTATGTAATTTTTGGCACAAATATTTTAAAATAATATTTTTGAATTAAAAAATTATGATGCTTTAAAATTAGTCTGCTGTTTTGTCTCACCCCATTACACTCTGACACCTGTAACCCATTGAGCACTTGTTTTTTGGATTTTATATTTTTACACAATACAAAATTAAAAAAAAAAATCACAAATTTATAAATAAAAGTAATTTATTAAGAAATTTAAGCAAATAAATTTATTGAACTAAAGTAGTTTTTATTCTACCTGTATCTGAATGAGATTCTGATATCCATATTTTTTCCTTTGAACGACTAACACAAATATCATAAAGCTCCTCTGTTATGTTTAAATCATTACCGATGGCATGTTGCCATACTTTTCCTCGAACGCTCGGGGGCAAACCCTTCCACCATAATTCACGAGTTTTCTTGGCATCTTTCCTACAAAGATATTGCTCTGTTAAATTTATTAATTAATTTTTATTATTATTCTCAAAATCAAGAAAATAGAAATACTGTATATCAAATTTAAAAAATCCAAATGAAATATTTATATCCTGAAATTTCATCATAAATTATGGCAAAATCATTATGAATAATACTGAAAACCAAATCAAAAATAATGGTAACATGTTATGCTTAAACATTAAACTTGTATGTACTTTATGATAAGCTATGTCATCTAATGCAAAAAGAATCGTATAGTTTAAAAGTGTTGTGAATTTTGAATTAGAGATATTAAAAACTAATACATTTGAATTTCTGTATAACAAATTGTCTATGAAAAAAATAGAGAACTTATATTAAATGAATAATGTACCATACATAAAAAAAAAGACATTTTCAAAATTCCACAAAAAATTTGTTAAAAATAAAAATTCATTATATAAGACCTCATAATATGAGAGTCCAACTGTAATTGAAGTCAAGTGACAATCAGTATAAATAATACAGGGTTATCTTATCATATATCTTAAATTTATTTTAAACACTAGCAAATTTGGCTTACACTATTATTGATTCATGTTTTAAATCTTCATTAGACAATTTAATAAATGTACATAATGGTGTTCTCTTCATAAATAATTTAAAGTTCCAAGTTATATATCTGTTATATTTTCTGGTTTTAACTTCTAACATCAGTTTATGTAAAATAAACTATGAAATTAATATTGATGGACTTTAAACATCTTTTAATTAGAGCACAAAATGCAACATAATAGTCACATGTTAGTATATAGTAAAATATCCTCTTTTAGCAATAAAGTCCAATATATAGCTTGGAGTGGAATAAAACAGCAATCTAATGTCTTGTGATGCTGCCAGATGTTCTGAAACTGCATTCATAGTATCTCCTTCACATGATTAATTAGCAAGATGTGTGGAAATCTGGCTGGTGATGAAAGAGTATGAATCCAACAGAGACATTGATCGGATTTCCTTGTCTTACATTATCATGCTGATAAATAACCCCAGAAGGCATGACATCACAGGCAGTACAATTGACTGAAGTATATTGTCAATGTACTGATGTGATGTCTGAGTACTCTGTAGTAGGGAGATCTACTGTAATAGGAAATGATGACTGTAACCTTTGACTATAATAGTAGTCAGAGCAGCAATCATATCTTCTCTACATACAGATACAATAGATCATGTGTCCAGAAAGAAGAATAATTCATCACTGAATGCTATATGACTCCAAGATTCCCAGATTGACATCATTCCAGATGGTACTGCCTATGTCAGGTGGTCAGTTGAAAGTGTCTTAGGGGATGGTGGAAATGAAATCTTGCTTCTTCCAGGCTTTGCTGAATGTTATTTCTTGATATTACATGTAGCGTAGAGGAAGGTATGTTCCTTTGGATAGAAAAGAGAAATGCCATTGATGCTGTAATGGCTGCTCTCCTAATTCCACAATCCATTCAAGTACTTGTCACTCTGGGACATCCATATTTGTAATGGATGTGTGCATCTTCCTGGATGCACAGTTCAATCATCTTACTGCTATATAGTTTCTACCAAGAGCAGAGAACATATTTATGTGACTATCTGGTTTTCATTAAACTCTCAAACTCAGTTGCAAATCCTCTGCTGTTGAGACACATTCAAAGACTACTTAATGTAAGCAAACTGCAAACCTTCTCAATCTGTCAATGTGAATGGCACTCCTTATATGAACCCAAGAAAGCACACTATCAACAGCTATTGCTAACTGAGCGCTGGACATCTGGGTGACAAAATAAGAGAGAAAACACAAATTTTTTGGTTTTACTGTATTTATAAAATCACAATTCTTTTCTATTGATCTACTTACCAGTAAATTTAAGTAATATTTTTAAAGAAATGATTAACTCATTTCTTTAAAAATATTACTTAAATTACTTAAATTTACAAGTTAAAAGAACAAGTTTGTAATTAACAAACATATTTATACAGATTACATACTGTATTTATTTATTTATTTATTTTTACAAGTAAATACAAAAGTCTTGAAGAACAGTTGATATCTATCCCCAAAATTAACAGATATACATAAAAAACAAAGACAACAATTACATAAAAATACATTATATTATACATAAAATACAATATAAATTAAAACAAAAAAAGTATAAAGTTCTTTGAAGGAATTTGTTTTCAAAGAACTGTTTTTCTTTGATGTGATTTGTTAACCGTTCTGAACTAAAATAATTAATGATGCTACAGTACATTATCTGAAAACATTTCCTTTTCTGAAGTTGGAATTAATGCCTAGCTCATAGTTTGTAACTTATAACTTGTAAGTTATGGTTAAGACTTAAGCCTTGTTTTATAATTACAAACATGGCTAAGACTTATAAGTCTTAACCATGTTTGTAATCTATACTAATATTATAAAGAGGTAATGTTTGTATGTATGTAAGTTTGTATGCAGCAGGTAATCTCTGAAACTACTCACCCGATTTCAAAAATTCTTTCACCAATATTTAGAATGGAACTTCAGGGTGGACATAGGCTGTATATTATTCTGTTAAACATTCATATAAATTAAAAGATATAATCTAGGATAAGGCTTTTATGTCCAACAGATGGTGCTACGAGTACAACGCCCTAAGTTTGCTTTTCTGTGAGGCATTGTGCTTTTCTGTGAAAATGAACTAAAGCAGATCATCTATCTATTTATGTAAATAAAAATGTAATGTTTGTTTGTTCCTACCGATTCCTTTGAAATTTTGACACAACGCTGCATTCGAATACGCACGTGTTTTTATATAATATACATGTCGAAATTCAACCCCACTGAAAGGAGATGGTTAGGATTAAGGCTTACGGTAAAGAACTCTGCTTCTATTTATACTATTTTAGATGTGAGTTTTTGCGTTTTTGATTGCGTTTTAATAGGGTACGTCAACAGAATGTACACTAAGAAGAAATTTTTCGAAAAATTCCCCCATACAGGGGAAGTGTTATAAATTTATAATAGATACATTTTGAGCCACAACAATGCGTGGCAGGGTCTGCTAGTTACATATATTTTACCAATATTTACAAAAATAAATAAAAAATATCCACCAAATTGTATGGTTGCTAAGTGTCCAAAAATTTGAAAGCTTCTGTTGCCCACTTGATTTATTGACTATTGTGAATCGCCCATTTGTCATCTACCCCCTAGAATGTGCTCTTCAGTTGCACTNCTGCTAGTTATGTATATTTTACCAATATTTACAAAAATAAATAAAAAATATCCACCAAATTGTATGCTTGCTAAGTGTCCAAAAATTTGAAAGCTTCTGTTGCCCACTTGATTTATTGACTATTGTGAATCGCCCATTTGTCATCTACCCCCTAGAATGTGCTCTTCAGTTGCACTCTGAAAATGTCTGATGTGTTCACTGGCAAAGAACATCATTTGCTTATCTAGCCAAATGGCATTTGCATACCAAGTTTTGTGACTTTCAATCTATTTTTTACAGGAAGAGTGATTTTTTTTGCAACAGAATGTTTGTATAAATTAGGCAGTAGATACATTCCATAATATTCAAAAATGATAATAAACATTTTAAAAATTTAGTCTATCTTATTATTAAGGAGTGCTTTTAAGACAATGTTACATGTTAACATTTAAAGTTTCTTGAAAAATGTATCTAGAGCCTTTCTTTTCTCTTTCTGGCCTCTTCTCATGTAATAATTTTTGAAAAGAAACAGTATACTCTAAGATCTTTCTCCTCACTATGAACAGTGTTCTTTTCAAGTTTGGATTATCTTCTTTGAAGATTATAAGGCAAGATTCAAAATAATGGGAAGTCTTCTTCCAGTCATTCCCTACTTACCATCACTTCCTCTTCTAATTTCTTAGAGGTAAAGTCTTTGCATATACAGACAACTGCTCTACTCTTTTAATGTAATGTAGTCATTAGTATGTAAGTTGACAACCTTGCAGAAATTGGTTGCTGATAAGTGATGTTGCTTTCACACCTGAAATTAATCTAATACATATTGAGATTCAACCTTTTATTTGAGGATATGACTTCAGTAAATAGTAGTCTGTGTGTGTCTTAATAATTTTAGTGTCCTAGATTTTTAAAATGTAATCTGAAAGGAATAAGTTCAAAATTCTTTAGGAGCTAATGGATGAACCCATTTTGTTTGATGCACCNGAAATATATCAAATTTTAAAAATCCAAATGAAATATTCATATCTTGAAATTTTATCATAAATTATGGCAAAATCATTATGAATAATACTGAAAACCAAATCAAAAATAATGGTAACATATTATGCTTAAACATTAAACTTGTATGTACTTTATGATAAGCTATGTCATCTAATGCAAAAAGAATCCTATAGTTTAAAAGTGTTGTGAATTTTGAATTAGAGATATTAAAAACTAATACATTTGAATTTCTGTATAACAAATTGTCTATGAAAAAAATAGAGAACTTATATTATATTAAATGAATAATGTACCATACATAAAAAAAAAGACATTTTCAAAATTCCACAAAAAATTTGTTAAAAATAAAAATTCATTATATAAGACCTCATAATATGAGAGTCCAACTGTAATTGAAGTCAAGTGACAATCAGTATAAATAATACAGGGTTATCTTATCATATATCTTAAATTTATTTTAAACACTAGCAAATTTGGCTTACACTATTATTGATTCATGTTTTAAATCTTCATTAGACAACTTAATAAATGTACATAATGGTGTTCTCTTCATAAATAATTTAAAGTTCCAAGTTATATGTCTGTTATATTTTCTGGTTTTAACTTCTAACATCAGTTTATGTAAAATAAACTATGAAATTAATATTGATGGACTTTAAACATCTTTTAATTAGAGCACAAAATGCAACATAATAGTCACATGTTAGTATATAGTAAAATATCCTCTTTTAGCAATAAAGTCCAATATATAGCTTGGAGTGGAATAAAACAGCAATCTAATGTCCTGTGATGCTGCCAG